AGATAGATAGATAGATAGATAGATAGATAGATAGATAGATAGATAGATAGATAGATAGACAGACAGACAGACAGACAGACAGATAGATATAGATAAAGGAGAAAGAGAGAAAGAAAGAAAGAAAGAAGGAAGGAAGGAAGGAAGGAAGGAAGGAAGGAAGGAAGGAAGGAAGGAAGAAGAAGGAAAGAGATAGGATGGAAGGAAAGAGAGATGTGAGAGAGAAAGAGAAAAAGAGAAAAGGGAAAAAGAAAGAAATAAGATGGATGGAGAGAGAGAGAAATAGGAGAGAGAGAAAGAAATATAGGATAGGGGTAAATAATAGATGGATAGATGATAGATAGATGATAGATAGATAGACAGACAGACAGACAGACAGACAGACAGACAAGACAGACAGATAGATCTTATATAATATAAAGCCATTCATCTTGAAAGTACAAAATTATAGTCTTTGCAAAATGAGGATAGTACTGTGCCGCTACTATTTCTTTTCAGTTGGAGAAAAATATAGGAAAACTTAATTTTGTGCTTCAGAACTGATTGTCTCTCTGATTTCTGGTCTCTCTCTTTTGATCAAATGTTGACATTCTTTGGAGCTCAATGTGGTCATCTAGAGGGGAAAATGGGAACTGCAGGCATATCGATATCATCCTATCACTTTTGACAGTTCCTAATTCTTAGGTTTCATTTTGCATTGGAAATCAATAGCTCTGTGTCCTGGAAAAAAATATTTCTGTAGCAGCGGCTTCCCCTCTCCCCCATGAGTTAATGGTGCACTTCCCTCCAATTTAGGTTCTTGCTTCCTCAATCAATTAACCAGGTTTATCTTTACAGGTGCAAATCCAGAGAAGAGAAGCCGAATGGTAGGACTTTTGCTAATAGTTTGGACTTCTTCGTTTTGTGTCTCCCTTCAGGTCTCACTAATAAGCCTCATAGCTAGTTCTCTTGGATACTCCGAAATGGGTCCCATTAAATCCCTTAGGACCCTCAGAGCTCTGAGGCCTTTAAGAGCACTCTCACGATTTGAAGGGATGAGGGTAAGACTTCAATTTCAAAACAACTACTACAAGACCCATCAGCAGAGCCTCTCTGTCCATGAGCATCCTGCAGCATGCTGTGAGGCCCTTCCTCCATCCCATCATCTCTGTGTTTGTGGTCTTTCTGTTCTCATTTTTCATGCCAGGCTTTATGTGAAATGATTGGCGCTGATCCTGTGCCCTGCAGTGGAGTTCTCTTTTTCCTCCTCCTCCTCCTCCTCCTCCTCTTCCACCTCTTCCTGCTGCTGCTGCTGCTGCTGCTGCTGCTAAAAATTTAGGCTGCTTGCTTGTGGAATTATCTTTGGCTTGGACTGATCCCGTCCTTGGTGGATTTCATTCTGCGCTAATCCCGGTTCATGCCTTGTTTACAGAGAACCTGTCATCTGGTTGACAACCAGACCTCAATTAGGACAACTTCCAATCACCTCCCCTGTCTCTTAATTTTCCTTTTTAAAAATTCACGTTGCCCTTTGAAACATTTCCCCCCAAATTGATTTGTAAGCCCATATGTGTCACAGTAAAAAAAACCCTGAAACTAAAAACCACGGTTAAAAATACAGAACAGATAAAAACAACTCAAGCAGGAAAATACTGAAAGGCGCTTAGGTAGAAGGGCTTCGTTACATCACAAAATCTGACTACAGGTAGTCCTTGACTTATGACCACAACTGAAGCGAAAATTTCTGTTGCTACTCGAGGTGGTGGTTAAGTATGTTTTGCCCCATTTATAAACATTTTTTGCCAAAGTTGTTGAGCAAAATCATTGAAGTTGTTAAGTGAATCATGTGGCCATTAAGAGAATCTGACTGTCTTCTCTTGATGTTGCTTGTCAGAAACCATCTGGGAATGTTATACAAATAGTTATCACATGACTTCAGGAGAGTGCAACTGTCATAAATACATGCCAGTTGCCTAGCACCCAAATTATGATCATGTGACCATGAGGATGCTACAATGGACACAAATATGAAAAATGGTCATAAGTCACTTTTTTCAGTGCCTTTATAACTTCAGTCACTAAATGAATGGTTCTAAGTCTAGGACTGCCTGTACATCATATAATGTGGTTATATAAATAGATTGGAAAGTTGAAGAATAAATACATTTTTGTCTGATTCCAGGAATATAATAGAACGGACACTTGGTAGATGCTTTTTGGAGGGAAGAACCGGGGGGGTGGGGGGCACCACAGGATAGATCCTGTTCCTTGGCCACTATTTGGTGTGCCGCCCTTCAAGGCTCTAAATTCTCAGAGTTAAAGTAGGCACATGAGCCGAGAGTCATGCCAATGATATTGTACTCCTGATATGGATAAATAGAATATAGAATAGAATATTTTTGAGTCCTTCTCTATCCAGAGATAAAGCAGATTAATACTTTACTGTCTGAACACAAATACTAAATAGCAAGACTGATTCACGATCAGCCTTTCTGTATCTGTTGCTCCTGGTTAGATTTTCTCACAGCAGGAAGCCACCGTCTTCAGTGAAAACCCATAAAACAAGTTGCCACTACTCCATTGATTTCAAAGAAACCCAGCCCCTGAAATATATATGCAAAAAATAGTCCTGAAACAAAAAATTGTCTATATATTTTGAATGTTGGTCTCCACTTTGGAGCCCATGTCAGGCATATGGAGCAGGGGTGTCAAACTGGATTTCTCCAAGGGCTGGACCAGCATTGTAGTTCTCCTTTGTGGGCCGGCCGGGTGTGGGTGGGGTGTCAAGACAGGACGGGTGCCTCCTGTAGCATCCTGCTGGCCAAAATGAGGTGTGGGGTGGCTGTGGGCAGCCCCCTGCACCCTTTTTTTAGCCTGGATGGCCCCCTGCAGAACAGAGCCAAGGTGGCGCAGTGGTTAAAAGCAGCACTGCAGGCTACTGCTAGATCAGCAGGTCAGCGGTT